CAGAACACCTAGAAGCAACTCACCGTTTACCTGCGCATCGTTAAGGCATAACACCTTGAGCAACTCACCTGTACCTGTCGGCATCGTTTAAGGCACAGAACACCTGAGAACACCCACCGTTACCCGCATCCGTTTAAGGCACAGAACACCTGCGAACAACATGTCGTGAGCTCTCAGGTGAGATCTGAACGACGCCACAAGACACTTGCTGGCCAGGCTCACCGCACTGCAAACAAACAAACAAACAAATAAGAAAACAAATAAACACACACATGTATATATATAGATGTACACTTACACTACAGAAAAATCTGAAAAAACAAACAAACAAACAAACAAATAAACACACGCCATTATATATATTAATTATATATATATATATATATATCATAGATGACAAGTTTCACTCTAAAATCAGAAGAATCAGAAACTGAATAAATCAACATTATCAACATGCGGTAATATATATATTATATATAGATCTATATACACACAATGTTTACTATAAGACAGTTGCCGCGGAGCGACAGCGGGCTCATCATAACTCTACTTGCGGACCAATGGGTGAGTGTGGATCAGCAACCCTGTTAGTCCAATGTTCAACATAGCACCGCCGGAAACAGTGAAGCACAGACGGTATCAAGAACTCTTCTCAAGGAATTCGTTGGATCGTATAAATTCACGAGATGGCGTACCTTTAAATCTTCTTAAGATTCAAGATGAACTCCCATCGTACGTAGTACAACAACTATTTGCAAGACAGAATAGGTAAGCATCATCCATTTACCACGCCACCACAGCGGCATAGAGAGCTGCCACCTGTAAATAATAACGCAGAGCAAAAACTACACAGTACTCATCACCACCACATCACTGCGCCGTGGCATCCGTTACATTAACACACTGACCGTACAGAATGCCATAGAATAATACATTAAGGACATAAACCTTTATCACCAAATTTAGCTTTGCAATTTCACTTGACTGTACCTCAATACATCCAGGCATATTATACATTCTACTACAAACCGGCATCAACTTCTTTCTAACCCTAAACCAAATCCATTTAATCCCCTCTTGAGGGTCAAAAGTTATCCGCCACTTACTCTTCGCATTCAGCAGAAAGTACATTTTAGTCCCTTTCATAAAGCCATAAAAATCTAGGTTCAACGCTGAAACAAAAAATTTTCCAATCGCTCCGTCAGAACCATGTCCTCAGAAAACTTTCCTAAAATCCTGCCCTGTGCCCCATTGACCTTTGACCCGTGACACTCCAATTTCGGCACAGTGATGCTTTTCCTACCATGATGCTAACACCGACTATTAACGACCTAGCGAGCCGTTAGATTTGTGCGCAATTCTGCATTCTCCTATACCTTAATTAAAGAGTGAATGTTCCCCTCTTTTACACCTCTTGACTTGACCTTTGACCCCCTCCTTCGACATCCCAACTCGTTTTGACATCCTCCCCGCATTGCCGAATATCGCTGACCGTACTCGAGCGGTTAAATTGTGCCCACTGTTACACGACGACTACGGCGACGACAATCCATCGATTCTACACATCTGCATCTGACTATGTCAGATGACAATAATAACCCCCCAACTCTTTTCCTCATAGAAACACGGACACAGCACCCACCATCAATTTCCAAGAATTCCCAGGTCCAAACATCCTACCAGCTGGCTGCTACAAACGTGCGGAAATCTACTTACTACAAGATTTCCCGAACCCTTACGAGCTTTTACCGATAGATAGTACACCCTGTAACAGCTGACTGAATATTTGCAGCAGTAAGTATTAACTAATATAAATAATAATAATAATAATAATAAATAAACCCTATAATATTCGAACCCTTACGAACAGTGTACAGTAGTACACCCTATAACAGCCTAATCGATGTTCAAAATAGTAACTCTTAACTAACAGTAATAAAAACAAAAAAGAAAAAAAAAAAAAAAAAAACAAAAAAAAAAAAAAAATACATAATAAATATTAAAACAGTAAAATAATTATCATACATTATAAACGAGAATAATAACCGAACAACAACAACACAACGACGAACGACGACACGTACACAAACAACAACAACAACAACAACAACACAACAATATAAATATAAAATACTGATAATAATCAATAAAATAAAATAATAAATAAATAATAATAAATAAACCATACAACCATAAAGCCTATAACACCCCCCCCACCCGCTGTCGCCGTCGCCTTCCAGCAGAGGGCGTACCTGAGAGCACGAGAGCTGACGGACGAGCCGCTCTTGATTCCCTCTTAGCAAAGTAAAAAAAACTCCCTCATGTCACGTGAACTCCTGCGTCTCGCCCGACCTCGTGGCATTGATGCGCTTGCTTCACGTTCCGTACGACGGTGAAGTACTGCAACAACAACAACAACGACGACGATGATATAACAGTGTAAGCAGCAGCAACAGCAGTCCATATACAACAGCATTGTTATCTAGCTCTAAGTACCTAT